TAGTCATTCTACTTTTTATTTTGGTTGAACTGAACCCTAACGAATGTCTAGTACATTGCGACGGATAAAGTCCTGGTTGAGAAATCGATTACGTGGCAATATCGGCGAAATCCTATTAAAACTGTCTAATCTTGACATACAGCTAACAAGTGGTGTAATTAACTTTATTGTTCGAGATTTCATAAAAGATCTAGGACGTGCAAAACCTATTCCTAGTCCAAAATCACTTTGTGAATCCTGGGGAGTTCCAGCCAGTATTCGACTTTTTGGGGACTCCCTGTCGGGATATTCCGAGAAGTTGAAAAAAATATGAATAGTTTTTAGGAAAACCTCTATCAAAACTCAAAAACCTATGAAAAAACCGCCAAAGTTTTCCTAAAAAATGTGTCATCTTTTTCTCAACTCCCCTGGGTTTCCCGACAAGGAGTCGCCAAAAATTCGAAAATTGGCTAGAACTCCCCGGCAATTAATAAAGTGACTCTGGATTAGGAGTAGTATTATGTTTTGAATCTGATCGAGTGAAGCAGAAAGATGACAAAATTGGAAAATGCAATTTTACTTTCTTTGTGTATCTTGCTTTCACTTGTTTTTAATAAAAAATGAACTTATTGCGTTAGATGATGATATTATGAAACAAGGATGTGCTTTTTTTCGGATACTGTCTGCCAAAAAAGACTTTCTGCCAAAATTTAGCCCCCCTCACTTCCAAAAGTAATCGGGAGCCATGTGCATACCCCTCGCTCTCCTACCCACACCCCCGTGACTCTTTACTTCATCAAACATTCAGATCCATACACACACAGCTTATCCTTTATTTATGAATATTTTATAAGGACACTTTTGGTTTCTCTATTTAAATATAGTCGAACGATAAAAACGAAGAAGTTCTATAGAATTCTTTAAATGATTATCGTCATCATCATCATCCTTAAAAGGTCGTCGTTCATAAGTATTTGGAAACCATTTTTCACATAGAATTGAAACAACATTAACATCAACTGATCGATAATGACAAAATTCATTAAATTGAGGAGCTATTTTTTTCAATTGACTTCTAATTGAACCTAAAAAATTTCCAGCAACAACAATAAGTTTTTCTTCATAAATTTTATTTCGATGAAAAAAATTCATTAAAACGTCATTTGTTTTCCCATCCGTAATTTCATCGATTATATTAAGGTTACTATCAGTTAAAATGCAATGTACTATGTTTGCTGAATTAATATTTATCCATATAAGATATCCCATTAAATGTCCTTTGAAAGGTAATTCGATCTGTTGAGTTTGCTGCTTTTCTTCAAAAGCTGTTTTTTTATAATATTTTAATTCTTCGAGACTATTACGAATATCATCTAATGCACGATGAAGATTTCCACTGCTAGTTGGTGCATTTAAACAAATATCTTCATTAAAACGATAAATTAATTCGTTTAATGTGCTACAGTCAAGAATTGATCGATCAAGTAAAGAATGTAAGCGGGCCATATCTTTTTCAAGAAAATATCTATCAAAATAAACAGTATTGCCAGCAAGAATAAGACGTTGCTTATGTTCCGAGAATAATGTTACTTGTTCAATAAAATTTATTATTTCTGTTTCAGCATCAAACATAGACAAATTACTCTCTAATACTTGTTGAACAAGACCTGATCTTGTATGATGGGTCATACACCATGGTCCCATTGCATCAAGTAATGATTTTGGATGATGAATTACAAGATCAGGCCCTAGAGACTATTTCATTGAAAGAAAATATAATATAATATTAAAATGAAAATACCTTGATGAATATTTGTTAAATCGAAATCAGTAACAATACAAGCAATTTCTAAGATACAGTTTTTGACTACATCTAATCCATCCATTTCTAAATCGATCCATATTAATGCATCATTATTGATCAACATCTCAAAGAAATCAACTTTTATTTCTATTCAGTTCGATGATTAGCATGCATAAGTGCAGTCCAACAGTCCATTCTATATCCATATCCTATGCACCACTCAGAGAGTGACAACAGTTATCGCTAGTTGCCAGTAGCATTTTCTCAAGTAATTTTATACCCAAGCCAAGTAGAACGCTACTAGTACGCGCACAACACGCTTTATGCGCTTGGTACGCGTGTCGCCACATGTACGTGCGTGTACAAGCCGTGTTCATTTGTACGGCACGCGTATGTCTAACA